GGTGAGTAGCTTTTGAGTGAATTTTGATTTGGGTAGCTGAAATTTAGGCTTAAATGCAAAAGGTAGTTGGAATTTCAATGGTGGGTTTGCTGCTAGGCTTCCCAAATGCACAGCAAGAGAATACACAATAAAGACGTAGTGAAAGAAGCAATTTTGTTTTGTTATTGGTGTGCAGCACTTTTGCGTGCTTTTTGTTTTCTTTAGGAATCGCATTAAATAGTTTGTATTCACCTGCACGGTGTTATATTATAGCACATAATGACAATACTGTATTATTTTTACATACTTAAGTGTTTTGATTTGCACTTTCAGAAACAGGATACCAGACTGGATGGGGGACACTATTTGGATCTGATTTGCTGCAGTTGCTAAATTAAGACATAGGACAATGTAAAAAGTTTCCTGAAATGTAATCAATAGCTTATTAAAAATAATTAATACCTTATTAAATAAATTGAATACCTGAAATATAATGAAAGCTTTCTGAATATATTGTACGTGCATTCTGAAATTGCAGACTTCAGCGGTCCATGTTCTTAGTGGACATTTGTATTCAAATTTTAGAAGTTTTCCAGCAGAGACCGTTAAGAAGTCAACCTTTTCCAACTAGATTACAGATCCTTTTTGACATACTTTATCCTTGGAGGAAACTGTATTAAGATTATCTTCTATTTCTTTTGTAATCAAACCTGAGGGTGGGGCCCTTACTACCTTATTAAAATGTTCTTATTGAAATGCATGCTTAAGAATAACAATCACAAATGGCTCCTAATCTACTACAACAGGATCAGCAAGAGTCTATCATGCGGAAACAAAAAAGTGCATTGCAAAGCTAGAAGGGCATGGAGGTGAAATTTCAAAGGTAAGTTGTTTGTTGTTTGCACCTTTTCATATTTGATTATGTGTGACATCCAATCCACCAATTATTCTTTGACACAGGAATACTGTTAAAGAATGTGGTGGTAAGATTATTAATATTTAAGATTGAGAGGTCTGGCTAAAAAGTTAGCTTTACTAAAAGAACATTCATTTTGACTAAAAGCTATCAGTCAATGAGTGTTTCCAACCCCCCACTTCTGAGCTAAGAGTGTAGTGGGTGTGCCACTCCTATAGGCTCCACCAAGGGCCATCTCTCCATATTGTCATGTTATTTATTATTTGATTGCTTAAAATTGTGGCAGTTAGAAAGCTACTTCAGAAGTCCAGCCCTACCAGGGATGGACACCTTGTTTAGTTAAAATTGAAATTATTGCATTTCCTTACCTCTTTCCTTTTTCTGAAACAATATATGGGTTCGGTCTCCGCAATCACTTGGTAGAGAACAGGGGAGCAAAGAGAGTTCAGTTCCAAATGCAGTTAGTTACTTCCAAAATTGTACGTATTTTTCAAAGTTTGTTATTTAATGCTTGCAGCTTTCCGTTATTCTTTCAAATGAATAGCTTCACCAGCTTCCAGGCTAGTATACTAAGTCTGTGCTGCTTTTGTTTGATGTATTTTTGTAATTGAAATATTAGTATTTTGAAAGCAGGATCGTTCTTAGTGAACAAAACTCATATGCTTTCATTGTTTTGATTTGGCTATTATAATCACTGGGCTGATGAAGTTCAGAAGGGCTAGTCTTTCCTCACTTAATATACTCAGTGCAATATTTCACACTCTGTGGATGCACTGAGGAATGCAGTCTGAATACATGCTGGCGTGTGGGTGGGTTAGGGACAGTTTCCATCAGGGTCCTTAGTGCTGGCGTGATTTCATGGCTGGATGTGAAAAGCTGCTCATCCGGGACTATGTTGACAAGTCAATCTATTTCTGCAGATGTTCTGTGTAGCTGTGATCCCTTGGAAATTTATTACTTGGAAATTTGAATTCTGGGGAACAGGCATTTTACCCTCAGTAATTAAGCAATTTTGCATTATATAATAAACCTGGTATTGTCCGGTTAGTGCTATAAAAATATATCTGATTATCTGGAAATGCATGCAGTTTTGGCAATGAATGTTTAACAGGTATGAAGACATCCTAAAAAATGAGTGGCCTTCAGCGGAAGTTTTGATATTATAGAGACGTATGTTATTGAATGTAGAACTCTATAAAATATATATAAATTTTGCATTGGAATAATGATAACATTTAAATAAAATTGTTGCAGTTGTAGAGCAATTGAATTTTGGGGGATAATGTTATGAAGTCTTTATCCTATAGTAAGGTCGTTGTATATAGACCTCTGTACATACACAAAGTTTTCAGCCACAGAAGTTTGTCAGGGTGACTCTAGTGGAATACTATCCTGAATTTTAGCTGAAAAACTGAATGCAAGGGTTGCTGGTTTCTATTTTGACTTTTTAATCACTAGATATCCTTCTTCTTCTAGGCATATTGACTCGCAAAGTAATATAACTCTTTTCTATATCTTTTTAAAGATATGTTTCAGCCCTAAAGGCAATCATATACTAACAGCCAGCTCTGATAAAACAGCTCGACTCTGGGATGCTGCTACTGGACACTGCCTTCAGATATTAGAGGGTCACACTGATGAGATATTCTCCTGCGCTTTCAATTACAAAGGCGATATAATCATTACAGGTAGCCAATATATTCCTTTTTTTTTTCTTTTTTTGAGAGACGTTTTAAAACTTCTTATGGAAAAAAATTAGAGTTTGAAAAGTGTCCTGAGGCCATATCCCACTTGCAAGTACCAGCAGTGACTTTAGACACAGTCAAGAAAACCTAGAAACTCACTTTGGAACTGAGGCTTAAGTGAATACAGCCATGAACAAATTTGTGTAAAGGCATGGGCATACCCTACCATCTGTCCTGTGGGCGTGCACTAGCCCCAGGCTGGTGACTAAGCCATTTTCTCACAATACATTGCAGTGAGGGAAGTCTGCATGAACAACATGCAAAGCTTTTTAAAAGGGGAACACACCTTTTGTGCAACTGGCATTGCATTCTGCTCAAGTTTGGTTCACTTTGGACAAAAAGTCACGGGAGTGGGAAACGTGAACAGAGTATTTGTGATTGCTTCGATCTTTTGACTGAATGACCAAAATAAGGGATGCAGGAAGATCTCAGCTAAAAATATTGCTGTAGGTCCTGCTGTCTCTTCCTAGTCGTGGACAGAAAAATATTCCTCTTGCTCCTTGGCATTCGAGGTAGATTGTTGATGTAGGTGTTAACAAAAATGGGTAAGTTGTGCAATACAGCTGAATGATTGTCTCACAATGTGTTTTTATTGCTAGGGAGCAAGGACAACACCTGTAGAATATGGCACTGACTGAAGACAAGGAAAGATCTGGTTTGGTATATGCCTGCTTCATGAATTTCATAGTCAATAAACTCAATCTTTAAGACCTGTTTTCTTTTACCCTCTTTGTTCAGCTTCAGCTTTGCAGAAGTAGAGAAGTTACTTAGCTTTTGATAGGTTTGACTTTGCTGATGTCTGGTAGATATGGAATCACAGAATCACAAAAAAGTAGAAGTTGGAAGGGACCTCTGGAGATCATCTAGTACAACACCCCTGCTCAGAGCAGTGGCAGCTACGCAGGCTGCCCAGGACCATGTCCAACGGGGTTTTTTATGTTTAAATGGAATGTTTTCTTGTATTTCAATTTGTGCATATTGGCTCTTCACTGGATGCTGCCAAGAAGAGTCTGGCTCTGTTATCTCAGCACCTGTGAGAAATCATGATTAGTGTGAATGAATCCAGTAGGATGGCCCCATTTGTTTGTGTGTAATTTTTTACCTGTAACCCTTTTAATAAAAAATAGCATTATGATGCTCTGAAGTCTAAAAAGGGTGTTGTTATGCACCTGCTCTGGGTACTTTTGTATTAATTTTTTTTGTTGTGTAATAAAGTATTGAGTTAAAATGCCAGTTTCACTACTTGTGATACAACGTCCCACTTAATATTTCTGGGCAAAACCAGCAACCGTTTGTGAACTGCATTGCTATTAACTATTGCATGCATGCTGTAGTTAAACTCACACTCACCCCCCTTTCTTACTTGCCCACATCTTCCCATTCATTCTATTCCTTTCTGCTCAGCCCTCATGCTTGTGTTTTCATCTGAGGTAAAAAAATAATGTGGGTGGTGAGTCCAACTCTGAATCCTAGCCCAAAAATTATGGCCACCATGAAGAACCTCTACAGACTGAAGATTTGGAGCCAAGGATCATGACACAAACTGAGATATAGATGAGGAACTCCTACAAGTTATTTACCACCATGCAATGAACTCTGACCCAGGTTTATCTCTTGCTAGCAATTGCCAACAGGCTTCATCTGTGCAGAGCTCTCCCCACCTCCTAGCAGAGCACCTGAAACTGCAGTTGCTCTTTGCAGGGGAGTAACAGTGAAGGAATAGAGCCCACTGGTCTTTTCCAGCAGCCTTGGAAGGAGGATGAAGAGGCAAAGAGGACAGGATTGAACAAGAAAGGAAGTGTACAGCAGAGAATGAGCTTGCAGGTTTTTTGTTTATATTGTATATCTCTGGGTGGTTATGGACTTGACTTCTAAATGTTGTTGAATTTAATAGGAAGTTACTAATGCTGATGTGTTCTGAACTATCTCTGAGTGCTTGCCAGCATCCTTGTGTGTAAATGAAGAAACAAAAGGGCCTGTCAACGCTTGGCAAATATCCTGGTTGTTTCAAGTAGTGTCGTGTTGTGGGAGAACTAAGCAGTGTGCTGCAGATCATTTAAAATTAAGCCTTTGCCAGTAGGCAGAGTGGCTGATATTAATGTTAGGGTAATGCTTGGGGTGTTCTCTGTTGTCTTGTGCAAAGACTTACGGTATCAAAAAGAGTATCTCCATAATCCAGAATTGAAAGGGGCAGGAAGGGCAATGCAGCTCTGTGTTACTTCAGGCATGCGCTGTGTCCCTAGATCGGTTTGCACTTGTACTTACAGGTGTGATGTAGGGGATTTCTGGCTGACAAAAAAGGAGGAAAATATGTAACGAAATGTGTACAAATACTGCTGCACAGTTAAAAACTGAAATTTGACTTGCTGTGTGACCATCATAAACTAAAAAAATTCTTTGGACTGAGATTAGGAAGTAGATTTTTTTTTTTTTTTTTTCTTTCTGGTTGGGTTTTTTTCTGTTGTCATTTCCTTTATGATTTATCTCTTATACTATGCTAGGTATTCAGTGAATCAAACATCTGTAGTAGCTTTTGGCTTTGACCTTGTGTCCTACTTTTATGCAAAATTGCACATAGGCGGAGGTTTCGTAGACTAAGCGGTGGACTGGGAGGCCATCTGGGCTCCATTTCTGACTCTTCCCTAGATTCATGGAGTGAGTAGTATTGCTTTCAAGGCTCAGCTATCCAGGTTTCCTGCTCAAATGTGAAATACTTTCACATCTGGTGAGATACCAGCACTGCTGAAACGTGTGCTGACTTGGCGCCTCCTAAGAACTTCAGTAGTACTCTAGGTACAATCATCTGAAGGTTTTGATGTTAGGTTCTCTGCACCTTGGTTTATTCCTCCATAGATTTAATAAATTATAGAGCTGTGTGCTAGGAGTGCATTGTATAGATGTATCATCCTGAAACCATTCTGTGTCTCTGCTAGCAGCTTGATCCATTTCTCTTAATTCTGCTTCAGTCCCTGCAACCAAAATAGCAGTAGTGTCTGGTGCCTTTCAAATCTTATCAAAACATTTGGCTTCTACATACCTTACACTCTCCCAGCTGCTGCTGTAATCAGTGGGTGGTTGGAGTGGGATGTGGCTTTCAACATTACCCTGAAATGCTGGCAAAATCAATTCACTGTGACCTTACTGACAAAGGATTACCTTGGGAGACTCCTGAGGTGTGCTGCAGTCAGGACTGTCACAGTGGAAAGATTATTTGCTCTGTTGTTTCTGTCCTTTAGACCTCTGAATCCTTCCAGTATATACCTCTGTAAAGGTACAAGTTTGTTTTTCTGGGAAAGAAGCCCTTAGCTTGTATCATGTAATTTCCCCAGGACAGAACATCCATTATACAAGACAAGGATGAGGATTTCTGTGTAAGCATACGATGTGTACTTGGACTCTTGACATAAGCTTTTTGTATTTCTTGAGATTCAAATTCTTTTCTAAATAGGTGAGGCTAATAATACTCATACCCACTCATGCTTTAAAAGTGGCATTTTGTGAGAGTTTCTTTTTCGGCTCCCTTCATGTAATCACTTGTGTTTCCTGGGGAGTTAGTGAAAGGATATGAAATATGTCCTGCTCGGTTATATTTTCCAGTTTGCTGCACTTTACTGTCTAATTTTCATCTGAAGTTGGGAGGAGGGCACAGTATCCATCAGCCAGACCTGTCTTTGCTGCAAATTGTTTTAATTAGTTTGACAGTGCAGCTGTCTAATTTAGCTGTCTGTCCTGCTAAATGCCATACAGCTGCAAGTTGCTTTCTGAGGGCCGATTCCTCATGATGGCTGGCTTCAGAGTGGGTTTGAGAAGTAGAAGTAGTGGCATTATAAGGTTGCTTATACTTAGTGAAGGGTTAGGAATGGCTCTGGCTTGAATTAAAATTCTTAAATTGGCTATTATGGATGTGCTTTCCTTCTCAGCTGGAATTTGTTTTATTTATTAAGTAGCTCATGTGGGCTCTTTATTTCAATGGAGTAGCGGGGGTTCTTTCCCTGACATTTTGAAAGTCAGAGCACATGATTCTCGGTGACATTCCTATGCTTGTATGTTGTGCAGCTCTGCATGAAACTGGACCAGAGAAACAGTAAAATTGCCCTCTTCTAGAAAAATCATCTTCTGTGCTGAATTTAACAGGATAGCTGTAAATTGGTGACCGTTTTTATCATAGACCATGATAAAATAGTTAATTTACTTAAAGACAGCTGAAAATCTCCAGTGTTATGACAAAATGGAGAAAGATTGTAATTTTTTGATTTCTAATGATCTCAACGTTAAAAGCACCCTCAACAAAACCAAGCTTAAAGTGCAGGTTTTAAATACTTATTTTTCAGTAGGTATTTGTCCTGTGTTGGAGTTAATGTGTCTACAGGCCAGCTGCTGCTCTTCCTTAGGTGAGTGGTGGAGTCAAGGCCAGGGTGGAGGGTGCCTTCCCGAAGCAGCCGGGCAGCGCAGGAAGGCGAGCGGGGCTGCCCGGGCTGGGACCAGCGCTGCAGCAGGGCTGAGGTCATCGCTGCCGCTCCTGTTGGCTGCCTCTGACAGCATCTCCCGGGGCTCGTAGGGTTTGCCTTTAGTACACTGTGGCGCCTCTCGTCCAAGCACTTATCCAGCTCCCACTTGAATGTACATGCAAGTTTTGCATCCTCTCAGTTGACAAGGCGTCACCTCTCTCTGTTTGCTTTGAATCTGGCTCATATGAATTTCCTTTGTTGGGCCCCAGCTTTTGTACTGGGAAAGATCGTGAGCAGCCACCTGCTCCACACCCTCCTGGTATTAACAACCTGCATCATGCTCGTGTTTGCAGAGAGGCTGAACTGCGCATACTTGACTCTGAGTTTTACCTGAAATTGTATGTAGTATGAAGTTCTCATTTATGTGTAATTAAAGTTGACTTTCATTTTTTTTCAGCCTTTTTTAATGGTGGATGAGTCCTGTTCTTATTTACTCAGCAAACTGTTGGTTTAATTTCCTGTTTAGCAGTAGGAATACCCTTACACCTAGGCGTTAGGGCAGTAAATATCTGTGCAAACGTAAACAAGTAGAAGAAACTCCTGAGCTCCTGCCTCCCCACCCCCTGCCCATTTTGCAGGTACAGAAAGCAGCTAGAGCAAGCACTAACAGAGATTTGGTATGTTGGGAGGTATTCTGGGGTTAATCCTCGGCAATACACATGTAATTTCTCTTGATTTTACTCTGCTACTAAGAATGTTACGATTAGCCTTGTATCACCTGAATGATTTGTGGAACCTGAGTAAAGCCATAGCTTTGGTACTGAGGTGACCCTGGAGCTTGCTCTGATTTGTTTTGGTGAGGGCCATGGGTCAGGTCTTTCATTCAGAAGCAGAGCTTTTAGCAGCGACAGGGATGGCAGGCAAATATTATTTAATAGGTCAAAAAACCCATAGCATGTTCACAAAATTTTTAGGAAGGCAAAGAGTACACACATTATAACATAAATTTATTAATAAATTGCAACATTAAGAACTACTGTACAGAGAAACTGCATCACACTGTTACAATTCTGTCATGACATTTGTGCTTTGTAGAATAAGTAAACATTTATTCTATCACAGCAAAAAATTGTCTACTGACAACTAACTGTATTTGGTTTAAAAAATACACTTTCCCATTTATTAA